AGACCGCTAACCGTTTGTCCCTACCGGTAGGCTGCAAAACAGTCAGCGGTCGGCGGGTATGCAACCCTGGCCAACCTTAAGATTTATGAATTACAATGCCATTATTCCATCTCCCCTTCCAAGATCATAACCCACACACAAACATCCATCCACGACTGTGCAGCGTGTGATAGGTATAATGAAATATGAGCATTGACCTTGGCAAGTACGCAAAGACACATAGATTTACAAGCTTCAGTCCGAACAAGGTCAGACAGCGATGGCAATTTTAAGGTGAAAGAAAAATTGTGATGCGGAATGTGGATACCTCCGGAGAAGCGCCTTTGGCTGCAACAAACAGACCTCCAGTTCTTGTCAACGGCAAGCAAAGTTCCGCTTCAAAAATGTCAAGGCAAGGGCAATGAAGAAACAATGGAACACCCAACACTGTCAGTCAGAACAGTTGAGAAATCTTGGCACACCCAACACCGTCAGTCACAACAACAATTGGCATCCTACTACGCAGGGCTGTTCGTATAGGTCCTCGAGAGGGCTGTTAATAGAGGTCAGTAAGATGTGAATTGATAACATGCAACAAGGAGTGAGTATTTCTGAGAAACGTTTTTCGTTTCACCTTCTGGCAACTCAAAGGGGGTGCGGTCACCCAAATCCAACCAAGGTGATATTTAAACCACCAGTACCTCGCCCAGCTAAATTTTTCTGACGTGGCCATTAACGCGTCATGTCAGAAGGGGGTCGTTGCAGTGAACGGCTGGTCGCAGCCGAAATGGGTGAAAAACCGGGGGGGGGGAAAGAAAAAAAAAAGTTGTGATGTGACATACGTACAGTATCTACATTATCTACTTCAGCATATATACATTATCTACTTTTTGGAGCTCCGTTATGTCGGGGAAGGTGGTTGTAGAGACCTTGCTGGCTTTGTTTGTTTCCAGTTTGTATCTCACTGCATAGCTGGGCGGATGCAGATGTTGGTTGCTTTTTTTTATATTGTCTTTTCCTTTTTTTACATTTCCCTGCCAGCGAGACAGGGCGGTGGTTGTCGAGGCCTTGCTGACTTTGTTGGTTTCCGGTTCGTATCTCACTGCATAGCTGGGCGGATGCAGAATGTTGTTTGCTTTTTTTTTTTTTTTTGTCTTTTCCTATTTTTTACATTTCCCTGCCAGCGAGGCAGGGCGTACACATGATATGTGTAGACGCCCTTGTTGAGGGCACACTCACATTGGCACATCAAAGAATGTATCTAAGTTAATCTAACCCATTTCCGGGCCAAAATGCCGTTCGTTTTTTTTTTTTTTACTCCTTTTGCTCCAAAGAATCTGACAACAAGAGTACTTTTCTTTTCTTTTTTTTGTCTTCGTTTACTTTTTTGAATCTGATACCCAGGCCACGGGGCTGAGACACCGTCATTGAGGACATGCTCACACAAGTACTTCGCAGAATGTATCCAGCGGCATTCACGTCCCTAGCGTGTTTGCATTTTTTTTCTTTTTCTGTTTTTTTCTTTTGGTACTGGTTCCTCCAGGCTCAACCTCTCCTGCTACTGGTACCCCCAGGCTCAGCAGGCTCAGCATACCGGTAGCCCGAGGGTCGGACTGCATAGCTGGGCGAGGTACTGGTGGTTTAAGCAGCAGCGAGCTGCTTAACTCACGTTCACAAAAACAAAGTGGAGGCAAGTCAAGGAGCTTTCTTTCTCAATGATGTGACATCACAACTTCATGTAACATGATACAGTTGTGAACGTATAAGGTACATGTAGTTCGAGTTAGTAGGACACGATATAAAGAAGCTGTGAGATAGCTGCAAAACACAATCAATGCACCAAAAATTGAAACCCACCTCGCCTCATTTTCTATGTAACTACCCGTGTGGTTTTCAGTCTGAGAAATCTGCATTTTTCAGAGAAAGTTCCTGCCTTTGATCTCTATTGCTGAGATCTCCAAGTTAGTATTTTTGTGTTCGTACTGGTATATCAAAATCAAACGAGCATTTGCACTTTTGCTCCACACGAGATTTCTGTTCTGGTTGAGCTCATCTTAGAACACCTGCGTTATCTTCTAGCAGATATGCCGCCCCAGCCAAACTCCCCACCTGACAATGTCCTTTGCTTGGATCGGACAGCCCACGAGGGCCTGCACCTTGGATCGAGAAGCAGGGGCAAAGCCCTGGCTCCACCAGACAAAATTGTTTTGCTGTGTTTTCTGAGTTTCTGCATCCTGCTAATAATGTATATATGCCCAACTGCTTGTCTGTTGAAGCTTCGAGTCCAGGTCTCTGTCCTTAGACTCCGTTGTCGTACGGTGTCAATGACCCGCAAGGGGTAGAACAAGAGATAGGTGTAGTTGCAATCAGACTCGCATTCATTCACACCTCACATGCATGCAAACAGGTTGCGCAGCAAACTGGCGACAAGCGCCCACTCAAAACTCAGAGATATGGTAACCACGAACACACTTCAGATACAATCTCACTTCAGATGGCTACRGCGCATCAGCGCCTATACAAATCTCTGTTCGTCACTCACACGATGCTGCTGTTCACACACCGGATCACCCTGGATATCCCACACTCGTCACGCTGTACACGCACACACACACACACACACACACACATGCTACTCCCTTCTAATAGCTATGGCGGCTATGGCCGCTGCTACCACTATTGCTATGGCTAAGCTCCTTCTCGCCCTCTTTGTCCTCGGGCTCATTGCAGACCACCTCGCACAAGTCGCTATGGCAGCGCTTCCGCATGGCTTACGCAGGAATGAATGAATGGCTGGGCACTGCCTCTTGATTTATACTTCTGTAACTCGCTGGTCTGCCCTTTTCCACCGGCCCATGGTGCACAGTCCCTCATGGTACTTGCTGGACTGGACTGTGACTGACTGGACCGCTACCGCTGACTGCATGGGTTTGCACCGCAGACTCACTACAGTCGCACTGCCAACGTACTGAGGTTGGCTCCACCACTTGCCCACTTGCCTCTGCCTAAACGTGAGCCCACTCCGAAAGGCCACTTCCGGGATCTTCCGGAAGTCTGTGGACTTGGCCTTTCGGGTACTGTAGCAGCTACGACCTTGACCTTTCAGGGCTGTAGCAGCTACGACCTTGACCTTTCAGTAGACCTATAGCTACGACCTCTACAGAGCTGTGACCCCAACTCGACAGACCTACAGATCGAATCCCTACATCTGCACAGTCCTACGACAGACAAACAACAACTAACAAAACATAGGTCCCGGGTTCAAACACTCAGGGGTCAACTCGATACTGTACATAGGTAAGGTCAGAACTAGGGATCGAGCCCTGGGATCTGCATTCGCTACTGCTAGCAGGTGAAAACCGTTTCACTCCCGCCGGCCTAAATTCGAGGTCCTCCGAGAATAACTCAGTCCAAGGCAGGGCCTTTACCTTTCTCATCTCTTTCGTAGGCTCTAACTATGTCGGGAGCTGTTTCTAGAAGTTCGGTTCTAGTAACCAGCGGTCGTTTTCTGGTTCCTGATAAGCAAATCGAACCTTGTACTGCTTCTGCGGACGACCTCTACCTCCTGTTCTGAACACGTCTTCACCTACAATGCCGTCGATGTCGTATCTTCCGTCCATGTCTGGAGGGATCATGGATCTTCTAGATGGAAACTGTTGACTTGTGACATACGGCAACAACTTTGAGGCATGAAACACAGGGTAGGTGTGGAGGTGTGCTGGGATCCCTACTGTGTAGGACGGCACATCCTCTCCGCCCTTAACTTCTAGAACTGGCCACGGTCCTCTATACGCGGGCAGTAACTTCTGCAAGATGTTTTCCTCAGGAGCAAACTCTTTGGACTTGACCCAGACCAGGTCGCCTACTTGAAACTGTGACGGGCGACGGTGCTTATTAGCTTGTTCTATCATTCGGTGTTGGGCCTGTAACGCAAACTCCCTAGTACCGGGCGGTAGCCTGTGAATCTGGTCCCGGTTAAGTCCCTCAAACGGTCTGTGTGGTCTAAAGGACTTGTGTAACTCATTGGGAGTGCGACAGGTAGACAAGTGCACGCTGTTATTGTACGCACTGGCTACTTTGGGCAACATCTCATCCCAATTGATCTGATGCGGTCTAATGTACATACGCATAACTTGTTGCAGGATCTTATTCATCTGTTCAGTCTGACCGTTGGTCTCTGGATGACGGCCAGATGACATCAACAACTTGGAGCCATAAACTCTCATCAACTCCTGCCAGTTCTGACTAGTGATCACTAACTATAGACAATGGAACCCCGTGTTCACTGACCCAATGATTAAAAAACTTCTGAATTACTAGCTCAGTTCGAGCTTCTGCAGGTAATGGGACAAAAACAGCATACTTACTAAATCTATCAACTATGACCATGACTTGGCTCTTGCCATGCCTACTCTTGACGCCAGCGTCCATAAAGTCAATGGACACTAAATCTCCTGGCTGATCAGGAATAGGCAGAGGTCTGAGAAGACCTAGGGGGGCACGCGTAGTAGTCTTATTCCTCTGGCAAACCTTACAACTGCGAACATACTCTATGCAGTCATTTTTCATCCCTGGCCAAGTGTACGCGTGCATCAGATTGGCTAGAGTCTTTTGCCAACCGAAATGTCCCTCTGTATCGTGACATTCCCCTAGGATCAGACTACGAATCTCCTCACTGTTGGGAACACACAAGCAGTCTGCTACATTAGTCTTCTCGAATATCAACCCCTCTGTAGTGCGGTAATCTGGCTCAGTCTCTGGGGCCTCCTTAAGTCTCTTGAGGAGGTCGCTATAAATAGGGTCCTACGCATACGCCTCTCTAACTTTCTGTTGCAGGTCTCTCCCTATATCCAGGTAATGGACTATTGCTCCAAAGTAGTCAGCTCTCCTACTTAGAGCATCCGCAACTACATTATACTTCCCTTTTACTGGCTTGAGCTCAAAATCATATTGGTCTAGCTCAGCGGCCCACCTAGTCAACTTAGGTGTCATCTTGGCCTGAGTCTTCAACAACCTTAATGTCTAGTGGTCTGAATAGACTTTGAAGTGTCTCCCAAGCAAGTAGTGCTCCCAGTGTTCTAATGCTTGCCTAAGAGCGTAGAGTTCCCTCTCATGGTGGATGTTGCGACCTTCTCTGAAGGCATCCTAGTAGACATGAACTCTACGGGTTTATATTCGTTGTCGTCGTTTTGTTGTAACACAGCGCCTATTCCATACTGGCTCACGTCCGTAGTGACGACGAAAGGTAAGGACGGATCGGCTATCTTAAGGACTGGGTACCCTATCAACGCCTGCTTCAACTTCTTCATGGCAGACGTGCAGTCCTTGTCCCACTTCCATATCGCTTCTTTCTTCAGCAACCTGCGAAGGGGTGCAGCAATCTTCCTGTAGTAATTCGCTAGGCCTAAGAACGACCGCAATTTTGTCAACGTGCGGGGTGTAGGCCAATCTCTAATTGTTGTGATTTTGCTATCTTCTGGCTTAATACCGTCTCCGTCTAAGACATGGCCTAAATACAGAACTTGGGTCCCTGCCCATTCGCACTTCTTTGCGTTGATCTTGAAGTTGGCCTCTCTCAGCTTTTCCAAGACCTGCCTCACATGACCCTCATGCTCCTGGAGGGTCCTACTGAACACTAGAATGTCATCTAAATAGACTATTACAAACCTGTCTAACCACGACCTAAACAAGTCATTCATACAACGCTGAAAAGTTGTTGGCGCGTTGGTTAGTCCAAAAGGCATAACTACAAACTCGTAGTGCCCATATCTAGTCCGGAACACGGTCTTATACTGATCATCAGGATGGACCTCTATCTGATGATACCCGAACTTCAGATCTATCTTCGAAAAATACTTGCAACCCTGCACCTGATCTAAAAGATAATCTATACGGGGCAGTGGCTCCGCATTCTCCACTGTGATAGCATTAAGACCCCTATAGTCGATGCACATTCTAAGCTTTCCCTCCTCCTTTGGGACAAATAGAACAGGTGCTCCAAATGGAGACGAACTGGGCCTAATCCAACCCTTCTCTAGAAGTTCGTCTAACTGCTTGCGCAGCTCCTCCAATTCCCGCAGGGACATCCTATACACTGCTCCTTTAGGAGTCCTACTGCCAGGCTCTATCTCAATGCGGTGCTGGATGGGCCGCAGGACTACTCCCGTAGGCGGCTTAGCTAGATCTACATACTCTTCCAGCAGCTTGGCAATAGCGAGATCTATGGGGTTTTCCTCTTTAGGCTCAGTATCTGGCCTAACATAGACCACAAAGACCTGTTCTTCTAGCTGCTCCTTCTTCACTAATCTTGCAAACGCAGGAGCGCTAAGGCAGCAATGTGCCAGGGAGTTATCTACTCCTGACACGTGGAACAAATGGGCAGTCTTGACCCCGCCTGACGGACTAGGGAGCCTACACTCGTGCTCTCTCAAATGGAGTGTGGCCCTTGCTGCCTCTCCCCAGTCCATTCCTAGGACTATATCGAAAGGAAGGTTGTCCTCTACGAGGAGAGTTAGGGAATGGAGAACCTTCTCCACCTTCCCATCTTTCTCTAGGCGAAAGTACGCCTGGACTCCCTCTACATAATCCTCTACTCGCATCGTGCGATTGTCTGCGAGGATACTCACTATGGGGTCTGCTAACTTCTGGACTTTTAGCCCCAACTTCAACTTCTGCAACGCTTTGCTACTGATATAGCTGCGCATGGCCCCACTATCTACTAGGGCCCCTACTCTACCTCTGAAAATCTCTACATCTAGTAAAGTTAGTTGTCCCCTACTCTCCTTCTTCTTTTTGGCCCAGGCGGGTATCCTCTCCTTTAGCTCATCGCCCACGCATGTGAGGGAAGTGCCTAGAGAGACCCTAACACAAGCGGTCTCTGGACAGTCATCTAGGCACCGGCCTACAACTTTTGCCATAGGCACATGTGGTGTGGGAGTTTCTTGTCGGCTCGCGCTCGTTTCCCCACATGGCCTTATGGTAGGGGCAGTTGCTACCCCTACCGGCGGCTGCCTTTTGACCCCTGGCAGCCGAACGGGCCTCTCTACACTTCGGACAAAATTTGATGATGTGGCCAGGGTCACCGCAATATATGCACTGCCCCTGGTCCACACGTTGTTGCCATACGCGCTGGTCCAAGCCCAAGTCCTCCCAAGGCCTACCCTGTGGCAGACCTGGGTGCCATCCTCCTCTCCTATAGGGTGATCTATTACCCCTATTAGGCGACCTATTCCCTGAACGGTTTTGGGGGGGACCTTGACCCCTTCCTCCCGCTTGGCGGTTTCCTCCTCTACCACCAACCCCCTGATCGCCCTGGGAACGGCCCCCTGAGGCCCGGCCCCCTTGGCCCTGGCCTCTACCTCCTCCTTGCGGCCTCCCTCCGGCCGCGACAGTAGTGTAAGTCCTCCCCTGGCTAACGCCACTATCCTCCTCCTCTAGTCCCCACTCAATCTGCTCGTAGGGGACTTCATCGACACCACCCTCATCTAACGTAAGGATCACCTGACCCAAGATGGTGCAACCCTTCCACTTTTTGCCCTTATCTAGGTCCTTATGCCAAAAAGTGGAAATTGACATGGACCTCGCTTCGAACGCCACCACTTCCCTGCTCAATGCGTCGTAGGTCATGGTGGGCTATTGGCTCTTCTCGAAGAAGTGCCCTCGTAATTGTTTGGGCATAGCCCGGTAGAAGAGGTTGACCAACTGGGTCTCAGTAACCCCATGGTCAGGAACGGCTACCAACTCATCCATCACACCTTTGAGTGCCCTAGCACTCTTCCACTGCCGAGAGTGGATGGTTTGCAGTCGATCGGAGGCTTTGACGCTGTGTGAGACATCTGCAAATCGTTCGCGCAATAACTTGAGAAAATCATTGAGGGGAGTGAACGTAGAGTAGGCGACTAAATCATCATTGCAGTTGGCTGCGCGGCACAAAGACCTAGCAAAACTAGCTGCCTCCTCCCTCGGGGCGTGAATGGCTATTAGGACGTGCTCATCCGGGGAGACTTTCTGTAGGTGCACGTATGTTTTGATATTGGCTTCCCAATTATCAATTTTTTCTTCCTTCTTCCCGCTATAGGAATCCGAAAACTTGACCTTGACCGGCTCCCTACGGGGACGTGCTTCCTCCTCCTTGGGAGCAGTCAATCTGGCGCCTTCTATGGCGAAGTCCCAGAGCCCCAACCGTATAGAGCGTAAGGCAATGTCCTGACCATGGGGTTACTGAGACCCAGTTGGTCAACCTCGTCAATCAGAACTTCCACTCCATCCTCTTCTCATCCTCTATCGCCTGCCGCTTGAGTGGGTCTTCTTCTGCATCCCACTCTTTCGTGGCGGCCTCTTGTTCTTCCCTGGGCACATACATTAGTGCCTCCTCGTCTTCCCCCAGGGATAAACCAGCAACCCACTCCGTAATTTTCTTCTCCATTTGATCTTCCTTTGTACCACTGGATTCACCTCCTTGCCCCCTTCTTCTCCTTTCCAGCGGTTGTTCTTCTACCTCTTCCTCCTCTTCTACCGCTTTCAACTTCTCTTCCTGCTCTTTCCTCAGCCTCTCTCTCTCTCTAGCCATCTCCTCCTCAATCTTTCTCAATTTCGCCGCCTGTTCCTCCATCAGGGCTTTCTTCTTGGCCTCTTTCTTTTTTTCTCTCTCTTTCGAGATGGCGGCGGCTTTCGCCTCCTGTTCTGCTGTGTAAAGGGAGGTGCTCCGGCCACTACACGTGTCAACCATGGTGAAAGGTGCACAACCAAGTGACAGTTCCGCTCCTCACCACTTAGACTCTCCCCCTAACTGACTCAACTTAAGACTGATTCAGTTTATGGACCACAGGATCCGTATGGAACCCTGTCAACTATGGTCTCTAGCCTAGACTCTAATACTATGGCCGTCACTACAGGATCTATTGCTGACCAGGAGGCATTTAAGGAGATCCCCCATAACTCCTCAGGAATTCTTTAACAGGACGACACGGTCAGCAGATCCTCTTAAGACTTAGACGGCCCGTTGTGCAGCCCACAGCTCGGATTTTGGGCCTACCGTGCCACACTGAGCAGCCCGCCGGTCAGTACCGGTCCTTGGGAGGATTCGTGTCCTCCGGGACAGTCGAGTCGTCAGCCACAGTCTTTAGCCCTACTCAGCCCGTGTGGGTTTGGTCAATGAGGCCCTATCCTTCATACACAGAGTCCTATCACCTGGACAGAAGAGACTCAATGCAGAAAGAAGAGACAGACAGACTCAGACTCAGCAAGTACCA